TCACCGGGTTGAATAAGCCGGCGTTGTGTGCAAAAAAGAACTTCCTACAAGCTCCACAGTTGGCGTGGCCCACAGTCACTTAGCAGCATGCAGTCATCCACGCTCTGTCTGTCTCCCCCCCCCTAGGCTGCTCTATCAAACCCTACCCTCACAACCAGCTTTCGCTTATCGACCCCCACCCCCATTCCCACGACTCACTTGGCCGAAAAGACGAACGCGTTTGAACTTGCACCCAGAATTTATCGAAAGCATGCGCATGCTCGCCAAACTAATCTTCTGAACATTGAAGATAGTTTTCCTTCAAAGAAATACACAGATATTGGTCATTCTGACCTTATTTAATTAAAAGGGAAGAGTCTCGGGGACTGTTTACTTACGTCCTTTGTTTCCTGTGAAAGATTTTTGTACTTGCTGTCATCGTACTTCACGATAAGAGGAACGGCGGGAGGGCATATGACGCCGAAAATGAGAGCCAAGACAAACTAGAAGAATTAAAACACGACAGTTAGATGAGTTATGCTTGAGGAGATAAATACAATTTGTAGAAGTTTGTATGAATTTGGAGACTGAAAAACCTAAGCGAAAATTAAAGGAGGGATAACCGCAAAGTATCTAAGGTGATCACGACCAGGAAAGAAAGGGAAGTAAGGATCATTTAAGGGCTTTCACTTTGTATGGAGATTTTTCAATTCCCATAGCATTCAGACAGTAATATGCGCCACTGATAAAGTGGATCAGCTAAAACACCCGTCCGGGGTACAGTCTGAAATATTTTCAGTCATTAAGGGGGAATTAAAATAAAACCAGCTCTTGCTCTTGCTCGCCGTGTCTTCAGGACACGCCAAGGGCATACCAAGGTGCCTTGACGTTTTTATTCACCAATACCATGCTACCTTTCATTTACGGAGAGGCAACAGTAGTTTAAGTAGTGCACTTCATATACCTCTAGCTCCAGTATTTTGTCCTACGGAAACGGTGGGTATGGGGCTTTTATGGGTAGGGAACTAGGATAAACAGTCGAATATACTTTGAAAACTGCTAAATGCATTTTTATTTTACTGTATTTAGAAACTTTGTTGTCGGCGCACGACCTTATCCTAGCCGGCTGGTGTGTCCCCTAGGCGCGCGCACACCACGCGCGTTCACTGTCTGTAGGCGGGCCGATAACGTGAACTGAGAGTTCACTCGGACCGCTTGTCAGGAATAATCCCAACACTTCCCCTATTTGAGATGAATGGTAGGATTTTAGACGCGGATTCACCTGCAGCGGAATCGTTTGCGTTTTTCTCCGTCCTGGTCGTCTAGAGGGCTGAAGCGAAACAGAGAGGAATTTCTCCTGTAGAGTCGAAATCAGCTTTGTCGCCGGTTGATTCAATTTTGCAGGACTTGGCCCGGTTGATAGTGCACTTTAGCAAATGCAGTTAAGTGGCAAGTCCAGGAGACCAAGTTTCTCGATCCAGTCGAGACCAAGAAAGTTGAGGTTCGAACAATTGGCGACGCAGAACTCACTATGGCTATCTCCGCGGAAAAATTGCTAGCTATCATGCAACAACAGCAAGCTCAGTTTGAAGCAGCTCAAATAAAAATGGCGGAATCAATGATGCAGAAGTTCAGCCTGCACTCCCTTGCTCCAGAATCCTCTGGGAAACAGTCCACGACAGCAGACGCAGCTGCTGCCCAGCAGGCAATACTTTGGGCGAAAGAAAGTATGCAGGACCGAAAGCCGGCAGCTGCAAGCGAAAAAGGTGGCAACGAGCAGGAGTCACATGAACGGCGTGGTACACTTGCTCATGGAGGCGCCTGCGAGGGCGAAAGGAAGTAGAACGGCCACCAGCAAACGATCGATGCCCGTGTATCAGGCACGGTTATAGCACGAGGCTGGAGGTGAGACGCACTCATTCGGGGCCGAAGGAAGAGTAGGTACCACGAGGAGAACAAGAATGTTTTCGAAATGCCAGCTTAAATATAACTTGGTCTCAGGAATTGCCCCCTCTTCTTCCTCCTCTTCCGTGGATGATAAATGCTGTAGAATTGTGTTTATTTTATGTACCTCAGAGAGTCGTGTATGTGGGTTTGCGACTGGCAAAAGCCAACGGCCCCAACTCAGATGCGCCTAGTTTCCACCTTTTAGGACTTGCA